GCCTCTCCATCTGCTCTGGATTGTGTTGATTATTTTGGGGGGTGTTTTGGTTGGCTTGTTTGTTTGTTTTTCTTTCTTTATCACAATACGTATTACATAGCTATTGTTTGATAGGATGTGTTATTGGAATTCTATCAACTGTGGCTATAGAAATTAGATAGTAATTCCCTGTGGTATTAACTGTACATATCTGTATTCACTATTCCTTCTAGGTTGTGTCTTGCAATTGAAAAGAGGCCCAAACTATTGAATACCCCATATCTTACTGTGTAGAGCCTTTGTTTTGCAGTGGATTGGTCCTACTGATGAGGTTGCATATATTGATTGCAACTTCCTTTGGCTTCAGGGGATATGTTCCCCTGAAGAGGAGGATGACCCTCTGTTAGAGATGATCCTGTGGTTTTGTTCTGTGCTGATCTGCAAAATAAGTTAACTGGTCTCTTTGCATATGAATGTAGCCTCAGAATATTATACAGATTGGCACCTTTTGAAACAAACTGAGAGGCTATCTAGATTTCCTCTCTTACTGAGGGCAAAGGGCTTACAGAAGCAGCTGTGTGTAACTTAGGTAAAAAAGTGACTAAGGTAGTTTAATACTTGATTCACCAGATCACAAGGAAATCTTAAAAAAACACAAATGTGGTGATTTTTGTTTTGGTTTGTGGGGTTTTTTTTGTTTTGTTTTTTCTGGTTATTTTTTGTTGTTGTTTTTTTTTGTGTTGTGGTGGGGGGGGAGTTTGTTTTTGGTTGTGCTTTTTATTTTAAGTGTGAAATGGCATAAAATCAGTGATGTTTTTTCTAATAACTTTTCTTCAATAGTGTCTGTTCTGGGAAGCCAGACTGTTGTGAGGAGAAAGTGCAGTGCACTGCATAAAGTGGTAAACTGGAATTTGTGGCAGCACTTCTGGTTTTAGCTGTATGATCAGGTTGCTAAATAAACTTTACTTGTTTCTGGTTGATTTCTCTGCTTATAATAGAGAATAACTCTTGAAAAGCAACTGATGAACCTGATGAACTTCTCTTTTAAAATGAAACAAAGAAAATCCTGTGATTCTTACCCAGTAAGGTTGTTGTGCTGAATATTGTTCTACAATTATATACCCTGTAAGCTCTGAAGACAAAGCAGTGGCATTGTCTGATAATTCACGCTGCTCCGAACAAGTGGCATGATGCCGTCAGCGTTTCAGAGGTTCTTGTCCGTGTGACACCCTCAGCCGGGGTAGTTTTTCACGGCTGGTGGTGCTGTTTCAGGGTTTCCCACGAGGTGTCACTGCGGGTTGAGGGGAATGGAGCTCGGGGCCAAGTTAAAGAACGGTTCAAACGTTAAAGTGGTTATAAAGTGCTGCATTCATGCATGAACTTAAGATGCAGTATTTTTTTGTTTTTGTGCACAGCAAAGAAGCGAAACTTGCTCAGGACCTGGCAGTGCTGGCTGGTTTATGTTGATGTCCAAAGGACAAAACGTGGGATGCAGTCTGTGGCACTGGCATTCAGGGAAAGAAGCTGTTTGCGGTGAGAATGGAATGGAAACAAGCAGCGAGGCACTGACCATAACGCCATGGTTTTTACCTGTGTTCTGTTATCTCTTCCTGCAGTGACTTTGTTCCATGTTAGATTTTAAATTATTTTTTCCTCCTTTTGGGGTGTGTGTGTCTTAATTCTTCTGGTACATCCAGAGACTGAATTTCAAAGATTGTTGTTCATACATTTATTTTCTGGTGAGAGGAAGGTGGTTTCTTGCACTGAACTATGGAACCTGCATTTGAACATGTCTGTAACATACTTTTTGACAGCACATCGTGGGCAGTGTGGAGAAGACACTACCAGAGCTGCACAGGACATAAAATGAATGTTTTGGCTCTGCAGCATTGGGCCCAGAGCCTGCAATTTCGAGTAAGTCCCAGGAGCTTCACATGCTACCAGATGTAATTCATAAGCTGTGTGCACATTCGACTGATGTTGCAGATTAATAAAGAATAGGCCTTATACTCATTTGTTTTGTGAATTGCAGTACTTATGATGGAAGAACATATTAAAACGTGAGTAAATGGAATGAAGCTGTGTTGGGGAAGTTCAGATTGGACATTAGGAAAAGGCTCTTTACCAAGAGGGTGGTTGGTCACTGGAACAGGCTCCCCAGGGAAGTGGTCATGGCACCAAACCTGTCAGAATTCAAGGAGTGTCTGGGTGATGCTCTTGGTCATATGATTTAGTTTTAAGAAGTCCTGAGAGAAGCAGGGAGTTGGACTCAATGATCCTTACAGGTCCCTTCCAATTTGAGATATTCTATGAAGATCAAACCAATTTTTTTACAGGAAATGTAGGTAAAGCAAACTGGATCCATGTCTTTTATTTGGTAGGAAGCAGACTGTCCGAAGGAATTGTTACTGTCTTATACAGTGTTTGATGATAGTGGAACTATCAGAGTTCTCTCCATCACACAAACTAGCCACAGGTCAATAGGAGGTAAAACAGGTGTGTGTGTTTGCAGCTCTGGCATTTTGAGCAGGGCATGAAGGGTACTTGCATCCAGCTGAACTCCAATCCACTATCCCATCAGGAGGCAAGATAGCACTGGTCAGCTGTTTGACAGCACCTGGCCTCTTTGTAAGACAACATTTCTTATGTCCTAATGAATTTCTATGAGTATGTTTAATTCCATTTTGGGGTAAGAAAATACAATCCAGCATTTCATATTCTTAAAAGGTTTTCAGCTCCTTCAGTAAATAGTTCATCCCAGCTGGTGAAAACAGGGCAGGTTTTCTCTCTTTCAATGGAACTGACCTTTTGTCCATGTCATTAAATGCAAATGGTGGTATTTAATTTAGCCTGTGCTGTAAGATGGCAATGCTGCCTGGTTTTCTGCTACTAAGGAGATAAACTCGTGGCTTGCAAAATCATATCTCAAGATGTGATTCTCTTTTACATGAAAAAACTCTGAAAGAAAGCGTATTATTTTGGCATTTTAATGTAGAAAGTGTGAAAATGTTAATTAAAAAGAAAAAGTTTAGTACCAATTCTTCGTCTTTGACCTTGTCTATGCTGACATTCTTTTGATACTTGTTCAGTTGATTGGTGGGAGGTTGTCATCACCTTGTGGGGAGATACCTCATTGCTCATGAATTTGCTATTGCCTGTGTGTTCTTCCTCTTGTCTTCTTTATTCTGCTTCCCTAATCTTGTCTGTTTTTTTAATCCTGTTGCCCTCCCTACTCAATTGTACTGTCAGGCTTGGTTGCAGTGGCGAGAGCTGTATTTATACAACCAGAGTAACAAGCAGAAAGAGACTAGGCCAGTAACTCACAATCGGCACTGGGAGTTGAAGAGGTGCATGGAAGCATGGCTGGGATACGTAAACCTTCACAAAGCAAAGAAACTTCAGACTGGTGAGTGAAAATGATGAGTTAGGACTGGACAGGGCTCAGCCCCTTTGCTTAAGGCACAGTGATGGTTTTTTCTTTTCTAGGAGATGCTGCAGTGTTTCTGCTTACTCAGCAGATGGTGAGATGCAGCTTGGACTATACACTGCTAAGGCTAGCTAAGGTTATATGCTGAACTGTTGAGGAGATAACTTGCTTTCCATGTGATTTAAAAGAAAATGTTTTATAGTTCCCTTGATGAAAACTTGCATACTGCATATCATATTCTGACTGAGATGCCTGTGGTCATGCATGTATTCAGGACTATTATTTGTCAATCTGTGTGTAGATTTTTTTTGTTAGTCAGACAAATCACAACTTACATAGGATGGTGAAGAATATTACACCAATTCTTTTGCTTCTTCCCTTGAAGTCACTGGAGTAAGTTCAGACGTTTGTGTGAGTTGCCTGCCACCAATCGGTGCTAGTGGAAAATAATCCATCTTGGATATCTGGGAATTAGTAACAGGAGTATGCTGAAATGTAAGCAAGTTTGTGTATGTATGTTGAACAAGTGATGCAGTGTCTTAACTTTCCCTTCTTCACTGAGTACAGTAGTTTACTGCTTTAAAACTGCCTTTGTGATCAATAGGAACAATATAGTCCATAGCTGAGTCTTACTGTGAATTCTTACCATCATATTTCAGTTAGAGCTTCTGTCACTTCAGAACCAATGATTTAAATGTCATGGCCTTACCTGATAGAAACGAGCTGAGGATGGAGCAAGTCATGAGTAATTTGTGTGTTTGTTTTCCAGAGCTGTCCCAAGAGCATCACCGAAGCAGGATACTCCGGTGGTGTTTCTCTAGTTGGCAGCTGTCATGGGAGCGCAGGAGAAGAATGCATGCTCACCAAAAGGACATGGAAAAACTAGCAGCAAGGATTACTTTATGGAGAGTCTTTGCACACTGGAAGCATTGTATCCAATCTGTATTTAATCCCTAACAGGGTCAGGTTAAAAACATTTCCACAGGGAAAAGATATGATTAATAAACAGGAATGTTGTGCAACAGCGTGGGTGACAACAAACATGTTGTCATTAGTAAGATACATGTACAGCTCTACTATCAATTAGTATAACTGTTGCAATTACAGTATGTTAGCCTGCTGACAGCTAAGAGCCAGCAGAAGATAATTTAGGGCTGGAGAAGAAGTCGTTACTTAACAGTGAATCAGAAACATATTGTGAACATGACTGTAATAAAAACTTGTGCAGGTAACAGTGCTGGAAATTAAGGTAGTGAAGCAAATTTAGATCGATATCTAGTGCCCCTCTGTGGGAGAAGGTTGTGTATGTGTCAGGGGGGATGTTTCTGTGTAAAAGATCCTTTAACGCAGTGGCAGATGTTGTACTGTGTGTGGAAGAGACCTGGCAGTGTGAGCTGGCTGAAAAACACTACAGGCGTCATCTGTTGGTAAGAGCACTGGTGTACATCAGGTGGAAGAGACTGTGGGGGAAGTGGGATACTCCTGGCTGGCATTGTGCCTTTGATACTAGTAGTGCTGTGTGGGTGTTAAGTGCACCATTTTCTGCCAGGGTGAGTTTGGATCTGCCATCAGGTTTCTTAATTCCATCTATTCTGAAATCTGCCAGTTGAATCCAAATGGGGAAACTGTGCTGCTCTCCAGAATAATTATTTCAATTGGGAAACTGGTGCTGTAGCAGATTAATCTTGATTCTACTGGCCATTTCACCATGATACTGTGTTTTCCCCTTGATTTTCCCTGATTTTTTTTTTTCTTCTCACCTCTACCTCAAATGTTTCTGTCTGCATCAGGCATGAGCAGGCCTCCAGCTTTTTTGGAACTGAATTATGTTCAAGTGTGGATCAGTACTGATCATCAAACGAATGGCAGTCAATAAACCTGTTTAGATCATAGATTGAAAACATTGACTATAAGAGACCATTAAGGCAGGATGCTTTCAGAATGCTTTTTATCACGTTCATCCCTGAATCAAGGCATTGTGGGATTGTAGATCAAAAGACCTTGTATAGAATAGACGTAAAAGGGAAGTGGATCTTTTCTATTCTTGATAAGGAGCAAGTTAGGAGTCTTGAAGCAAAGGAAGAGATAGTTTGGGAAAGGATGTGGGTAGTGGTGTTGATAGCTGAATGAGGAGTTAGATGCCTCGTAATAAAACCCTGGGAACGTGCAAGGGAATTTTAGTTTAGCTGGAGAAGTAACAATTTGTGAGGGGAAATTGATGCATGGCTTTGATGACAAGTTCATAAATCTCAGTTGTTGCAAGGAGTAGCATCAAACAGATTGTAAGGAGCAGCCAGTTCTAAGCTGTGCAGTGCTGATCTGGGTTACATGAAAGTTGTATACATTTCTTGTTGTTACAGACACTCGGGTTTAAGGGTCTTTGGCAGAATGTTGAGAATGCTCATCTTCAGCAAATGAGAAAGAATCTGTCACACCGTCAGCACCAGGTTACAGTGAGTCTGACCTTTCTTTGTGTTAGTTTTTCTTCAGCTGTCCTGTGGGCTTCCACTTTCATCTACAAAATGCCTTTTTTATTAAATCAGTGGCTTTGTTCCTAAATACTAATAGCACAGACAACCTCCTATGTAAGTCAAGTGTCAGTCTTAGTTTAGTTCCCTGTTTTCCTATGTTTATGGTGACTTTTACCAGAAAAATTCATAGCAGGTTATAAAACAAGGTTGGCATGTGAAACAGTGCAGGAGACAACCATTGCAGCATGCAGTTTCTGTAGGACATTTAATAATGTCTGTCTTTGGATTCTCTTCCTCCCTTGATATCTATGTTTTTTCATGTCTATTGTTCTATTTCAGGTGCTGCAGAAGTTCTGGAACCGTTGGAAGTCCCGTTTGGAAGAGAAGGAAGAAGAACAGCAGCAGGCCTTAACAACAGTGGCTTATGCCCGTTATAGGTACACAGAGAAATGCTGATAGAAAGTTGTACAAATGTAGGATTTGTGGGCCTTTGATTATCTTTTAAAACCTGATAGTACCTTTGGGGCATGACCATTCTCCTGCCAATTGCTCTTACATTTTCTATGAGTAGTAGAGAATTTATATCCCCTGCTTCTCTGTGAAATGTGAGAAGGAGATTGGTTTAAGCCTAGCTCTGAGGCTTGTTTAGATTCACTCAAAATGAGTCCAGGTCCACAACTGCAGTCGTGCCAAAATAAATCTGTTACAACTGCTGGAGTTATTCTAAGTTAAGTTTACAATGTGAAATTGAGTGAAATTACTGGGAATATTTCTTCTTCAGAGGTGCTTGGTGTTTCTGTTTTCTGTTAAAAGTAGATGCATGCTGTAGGTTCTCATCATCTCTTAAAATTCAGACACTAGCCTTTGTCTCACAGTAATGATACATCTTACTAACTACTTTTACTGGCATATTATGGAGGCAGAGACACACGCAGGAGTTACAAGAGTGTGTTCTTGTGCCTTGTGGAAATCACACTGGGTAGAGAATATTGACTGGGAGAGGAAAAAAAAAATGGGTGCCTTTTCTGAGATGCCTTAAAAGCCTTGCCTGGGCTTGTATTCTTACCTGTGGATTCAGTGCTGACTCTGCAGGTAGAGTTATGATTTATTGTGCTGTTATATGCTCTTACAATGAGACCCCTCCATGGGCAATGGGACACTTCTTCCTGTGTAAGTTGAGAAACAAAAAAATATTCTTTAACATTGAATCTTCTTTTTAGTAGACTTGGGACCTCGCACCTCTCATTGGCAGAGAATAGTTACACCCTGTGTTCCAGATTCGTACCTTTCTGTCATGAGAAGCCTGGCTTCACAGTTAAAAAGCAGGCTGCAAAAAGTCTGTTTTGGCTTGGATATAGGCTTACTCTTCGGCAGATTCACAGATAGGTTTGGAGTGCAGCTGAGTAATAAGGGCAGCTGCATTTCTGCAAGCAATTAGGAGTTTTTCCCAACTGTTTTGAGAGTGCAGCTGTGCTGTGTTAGCTTTTACCCTCTGGAGACAAGGAGAGAGAAAATGCTCGAACACTCAGGACCTTAAGCTTGGTGAAGATGAGTTGCAGCATGCAACTGCTGCACTGTAACTCATGCCTCTCTCACCAGAGAAGGGATGAACTTGTTGGTTCTGGAGCCATACTTTGATTTCATGGGTCAGGAATGTTTTTGTGTGCAATCCTTTCTCCTTAGAAAGAGTATAAATTAAGTCCTATTTCCTGAACACAAAGGAACAAATGATAAGAAGTATGTTCTTTGGTCAGAGGTCTGGGGCTGCTTTTCAACAAGACCTAAGTAAAACTTCCATGGCAGCTTGCCAGAATTTAGCTTCTCTGTTGGTCTCTTGTGCACGTGTGTGCTGCCTCCCAAGTCAGTGCCCCAGTTGCTGTGTCTCATGGTAAGACCTCGGAGATATCCCAGAAGGGCCACCAATTGAGATTTGTGACTGTCTGCAGATCAGAGACACTCTTGCTGGCAACTACCAGTACCCTTCAGGAAGACTTATGCTGTTTACCACCTCATAAACTTGTAATGAGCTGTAACAGCTACCTACCAAAAATTACCTGGAAATAATCCAAGTATCTTTTAGGCCTGTTTAGACTGGAGAAGAGCTGAGACTTGCTGACAGTCTAATTAGTACACCCACATGACTGAGGTCTGGAAATAACTGATGTGCTGTTTCTACTATGCTGTAGCTCAGGCTTCTGGAATAGGAGGCTCCTACTATATGCTGCTTCTGTGAAAGAGATGTACAGTGCTCAATCACAAATATCTATTAATTGCATTTTTTGAGTACTATTTGGTAATGATTCTCCCTGGGGAGGACACAGACTAGGAAGTATTATCTTTGTCTAGAGAGAAAGAAGCTTTGGTAATGAAGGCAGTTAACCTGGCCGTGTTCATAAAAGAAGACTTTGGTAGAACCTCTTCAGTGTTAAGATCAGACCACACTGCTCTTAATTATGTGTTATTATAACTTTTTTCAAGTCCTATTACAATGTTTGTTTTGGTTTTAAATAGAAAAAGTAGAGTAGGATTTTCAAACTATTTCGAAGGGAGGAGGGATTGGACTGTATTTACAGTGGAGAAGAAATAAAAGGTTGTTATATATTTTTTTTTCTTTGTGTTTTTAAATATTTGGTCAGAAGTCAGAACAATCTTTTGAATGATCTGAATGAAAGCAGAGAGTTCTGATAACTTCAGAAAATTCACTAATCTTATGTCTTCTATGTAAGATTTGCGGGGGCAAATTGTCTTTTTTTTAACCCAGAGAATAATGAGGACATACAGCTGCCTGATTTCCAAAGGTGGCTTGTAGTGTTTGAAAAATCAACTAACTGTTTAAGTTGTAGATGGATTGGTCTTTTGACATTCATAAAATCCTTCTTTTCCGAAGGAATTCTCTCCTGTGCTGACATTCTCCCTTTTTGCTTGCAGGAGGGTGTTGATGAGACAAGTATTTGACACGTGGCTGCTGAAGGCCTGCAAGCAGCAAGAATTCCGGAAGGCAGAGAAGAGGGTAAATCTACTCTTTTACCTTGCTTAGGAAATAGAGGGCATGGTTTCTTAGTCACTGTCTGTGAACATGAGTTGGGATGAGATAGACTTGTGTATTTTAAGTTCCCTTTTCCCTGTGGGGGATCAAGTCAGGGAAAACAGATTACAACCAGTATTTACTATTCGCTTTTTTTGAGTTAAGCTATTTATTAATAATAATAGTTTCGAGACGTTGTTACTAGAGGGTAACTATTCACACAGTTCATTCACTTACTCTCTCACCCAGTAAATGTCTATTTCATAGTTACCTGGTTGAAACAGTAATAGTAATAAAGAGCCAACCCCAACCTATTTAAAAAGTTCAGGGTGGTGCTGACAAACTAGTTGTTTCTAGGTAGGTGTCCATAAAATCGCTTAAGGGATCCTTCATTTCCACAGAGGTATAGATAATTCTGTAGTCTTTATCTGTAGCAGCTACTGCCACCTTTTATGTGGTCTGAGTTCCACAGCTCCTGGTTGATGGCAGTGTGTGTGTGGCCTTATGCAGATATGGCTGACTGTTGGCGTTCCGAGATTATCAGTCCCTGCAGATTCAACAGGAGTGTTTTTTGGAGCTTATCGGTTCTGGGGAGTCTTTCATATGCTACTTATGAGCGTGTAGTTTTCCTCTCTTTGGCTCGCTGTTTTCTGGTGGCAGTTTCTCCATCTGCATGCATGTAGGTCCCTGTATAATATAGTCACATAAACTCAGAACAAAGGGGCTTGGGTGACATGTTTAACGTAAGAAGAGGAAAACAAACACTGGACAGTTCTGTGCATGTCATCTTTAAGAAATAGGCCACTTATAAACAAGAGAAGGCAATGTCATGAGTTCACTGCCACCTTCTTCCCATTGTAGGCTGCACTTCATTTTGAAAGGCAGCTATTGCATTGCTTCTGGTGCTTCTGGCGTAGAAGAACAGCTGCATGTTTGGAGGAGCAAGAGAACTTGGTTCGTGCACAAGGTCACTACAGCAACCTGCTGCTGCTAAAGGCTTTCTGTCTTTGGAAGCAAAATACTCAGGAGAGAAAAACAGAGTAAGAAGTTTATTTAAAAGGGAGAATGATTTGGGTTGGTCCTGTGGTGGCCTACTCTTGGCAAAGCAGCTGTTAATTCACAGTGATTCTGACTCCTTAGGTATGCTTTGGAATCTACTAGCTTGTCCTTCAGTAAATGACTTACTGAAAATAGCAGGTGTGGGGTCAAGTCTGTGCTAGACGGGTTCAGTAACATGAATTGCATTGTAGAAGAAATAATTATTTTTCTTATAGGAGGCTCAAGGAGATGCAAGCCTTAAGATTTCACTCTTCAAAGTGTCTGCAGCAGACTTGGAACAAGTGGAAGGAGGTGAGGGAGTTAACAGATGGGGAAGAGCTTGAATCCTATTTATTTTGTACAGATTGCTTCTACCATATGGCTAGAAATTAAATTGTTTATTTTAAATACTAGTCATTCCTAAGCTCTCCTTCTTTTCCAGGTGGCTAAAACCAGTTCAGCGTGGACAGAACAGGAATTGTGTAGGGAGGAGAGGGAGTTCTTTGACTTCTTGTTGGCTTCTCTAATATAGTGAGAATGGGACTGTAGTTTAGGAGATTTACCCAGGGATGTAACCAGAGTTAACATGATGAAATTATCCCTAGACACTACTGTGCATGTCCTTCTCAAAGTCAGAAGTTTGCAGCAGGGTGTAGTGTGGTCTGTAGTTGTGTACAGGTCACAGCAGGCCCTATCAGATGGCTCTTCACTTTTATGCTGGGCCTTTCCCTTACCATGATGTGATGGACCACATATGCCTTGCAGCATGTCTTACTGAGATGTTTTAGAGTTGACACTAGTATGTTGGTCCAGAACTGTTAACCTGAGTGAACTGTATCAGTCTTCAAAAGGATTTCTAAAAAGGGCAGGGCTAAAAAAGCCTCAACTAGGCCTTCTGGAGAAATAGTAGGGTGCAGCACTAGTTTGAATGAAAACCTATTACAGCAAGATTAAAGGATAGATGTTTCCCCAGTGACTGGGAATGATCCTTTTCCCTCTTTGCTGTGCCACTGCCTGTTTTCTCTCCATCACATGTACATGTCTTTCTTCTCTCCACCCTCACAGTATGTGGAACATCAGCGTGAGAAATGGAGGAAGTTGGTGCAAGCAGACGTGCACTATCGGCACACGTTACTGGGCAAGACCTTGACAGCCTGGAAGGTAGGAGGGAACATCCTTTCCTATGAGGGATTTGTGTGTGTGTGCTGAAGTGCTTTGGTGAGAACTGAAGAGCTGCCATGCTGTTTCACTCTAGGCATTTGCATAGCAAGGTAGAATGGAGGCTTGGGTGTAGATAGGGTGTATAAGCTCTAGCATTGCTTTCTGGAGCAAAAGAACCAATGTAATCATGTGGCTTGGTGAAGGGTCTGTCATAGCTGGCATTAACTAGTGTGTAATGACTCTTCATCTCAGAAAAGCAGCATTTGATTTCAGTGGCTGCAACCTCCTTTTCCCTGTCCTATACTCCACTGCTGCTACTACTCTCCTAAGCTGCTATTAAGAGTTTCCAGATGTCTCCTTTCCTCAGATGTTGGCAGTTGAGGAAGACTTTACCTCTTGCTGCTTTTCTTGCAGACTTACCAACATAAGGTACAGTGCATTCTATCCCAAGTAGCTGAGAAGGAGAACTGGCACACCAGCCGTCTGCTCCGGTAAGCCTGTTTCCTTGTGCAGCAGGAGAGAAGTGACCACACTGCAGTCAAATTACTCCTTTTCTTTCATTGCCACCTTTGTCAATTTTTGAGTGGTCAACGCTGGGAATTGGCTCCCCTGTGCATTGTTGTTTCTGTGCAGATCACCTAGCTAAAAGAAGTCAACTTCTTCCTGAATTTGCTCTGTTTTTTATTTAGGCCCATAAGAGACAGCAAACTCTATCATTCCCTGTAGTGAGCACACAGATTCTACATGAATAAAATATTATAGCAGCCTGGAAGATGTAGAGGCTGTCTTGTGTAAAAAGTGAGGAGAGTGGTTAAAGATAATATCATCACTTTGTATTGGTTGTAGTTGCTTTAGTTTTAACTACCTCATTTGTTTTAATGCTGTACAACCACAGTCACTTGAAGAGCCTGATTGATTTGGCTTAAGATGCTGAATTTAAGGGTGTATTCTGGTTTTGTACTGCCTTCAACGGAGACCCAAAGGGGCAGAAGTTGATTTGCAAGACTGAGTTTATAGAGAGAGCTGGCTTTGGCTCCCCTGTGGGTTGGAGGGTGCCAAATGAACAAGTGAGAATCATTCTTAATGGGTTTTGTTTGTTTTTTAATTTTTATATATTTATATGCCCAGGCAAGTTTTGTGTACGTGGAGAGAAAATGCTCTTGCTCTTGTATGTGAAGCTAAGGCAGCTATTCAGGCAGATGAGCACTACAGGAGAGCAATCCTGTCAAAGGTAGGGTCTCTCTATAGCAGATACCAAGTCTTAAGTACAGATGCTAGTTCAGGCATGGGTCAGGTAATGCAGGATCAAAAACTTAATCTAAGAGCCACTACTAAGAAAGATCTAAAAAGTGTGAGTCCCATGTTATTTCTACAGGCATCTCTGAAACTTGTCTCTGAGTGAACTCATGGTTTTGACTCTTCCTTTCTCCCCACTTCCTAGGAGGAAGGGAGGACCAGTAGTATGATATAGTGTAGTAGTATTACCTGGGGTGGGGGGAAAGACAGGTGGATGGAAAAGGAGTATGAATGAAAACTGCCGGGGGACCCTCTGCTGTATTTACTTTGTAGGAAATTTGCACTGTCTTGCTGAGCCCTATGTGAAAAATTAGATGGGAGTGGTTGTGGTGCCAGCAGTATGGAGTACATTGCTTCCCCCTCCCAAGAACATTGCAGTCAGTCTGTGTCCTGTCTCTTGTTTGTATTGCACCTTTAGGTGCTGCTGCAGTGGAGGTACACTGCCCTGCTCCAAGTGTGTAGCCGTCAGCAGAAGATGATGGCTGTGATGCAGGCCAGAAAACATTTGGATATGGGTGAGCTGATGGAGATATTAAACTCTCAAAAGACTTAGTTATTTATGTATGATCCTTAGAAAGACATAGCTCAGTAGAGCAGTCTTTTGTGTCATCTGTACAGATGTCTATTAAGCCTACAAAGGATGTCACCATGGAATGGGGAAGGACTTGGGACTCCAGTGGTCAGTTGAAGGCTGCTTGTGTTACTTTGCTTCTCTGTTGGTTCCTTGTCCCCCATCAAGGGAATTTTCCATTACTAATTTTGAGAAGCTCAGATGCCTCTGTTTTAAGGGCAGTGCAAGTCATCTTACCAGTTGCTGCTTCAATCTTTCTCTAGTAACTAATACAGAAAGGCCCTCAAACTTTGCAAGCATTTTCATGGTACCAGCCACCTTCTTGACATGAGGACTCTGAAGCAGCAGGGGCAAATGATTTCCTAAGGATTATAAAGAATGTCAATGGCAGCAGGGAAGACTTGAAGTCACGGCTCACTGACTGTCAGCTGACGTGTTTCACAATCCTTCTTTCTAGGGCTGAGTACTGTCAGTGTTAAGTATTGCTAAAGCAATACTTAAATATACTTAGAGCAATACTTAAATACTTTCGGACTTAATCTGGAAAAGTAGCTGATCGCTTGATACTCTCTGAGTTCATTTGTCTTCTCCTAACAGTGCATTTACAGTCCATGTTTCTTCACTGGAAGGAATTAACTAGGGAGTCTCTGATACTGAGGGCTCAGCAGCACAGGGCAGCACAGCACCACCAGCAGCACCTACTCCAGAAGTACCTGGTGAAATGGAAGAAGTATCACCAGCAGTGCCTTGGGAAAATGGTGAGAGGGACCATCAACTTCCCCAGCCAGTGACCCAGTGTTGGAAGTTACAGGTGTGGAAGAGCAGGCTGTGGCCCCTGGTGAAGGGAATGGTAGTGACTGAGCACAACACCCTTGTGCACTGAGGAGGAAGGAACTTGCCTGTGTCTTGCCCGAAGAAGCTTTGGTAGAACTAACCAAGAGACGAGAAGCTGGGTTTGCCCTGAGTGACACCATTAGTGAAATCCTTACTGGGTTCGTAGATACACAGATACTGTTACAGCAGAGGGCACTTAGATATTTAGTGTCGCCTCAACAGAACAAAGGGAGGATGATAAAGGCTGTTTGATACCTGTTCTATTCTAGTAGCTTTTGGCTCAGATAAGTGGGGTTTGTCTGCAAGTGACTCACTGTTTTGCTTGCCTTACAGCTACTACAGAGGCTGGGAGATCAGCTAATGACTCGTAGACTTTGCTCTACTTCCTTCTCTTGCTGGAAGACACGGGTAAGGAATTGACCCCAGGGTAGCTAGCTGTTTGCTGATCTTTATCCTTTCTTCTCCTTCATACTCCACTCACTCATGAGAATATGAGGACCATAAGGATTGATTTAATCATTTTCTGGATTTTTGGTTCCACTAGCAGAAGAGAAGCCTTGCTGTATACTGGGTGAACTAAGTAGGTTATTGTGCTATAGCTCCACCAGCACGTCCTGTTTGGTTGATGCTCTGGCTAGCATTTCTGGTGTGGGATATGTAAACTCCTCACCTCTTTGCTGTGCATTTTTTTCCCCGATAGCTGTTGGAGCAGCGATGGGAGAAGCAGAAGATGGTGCAAGCATTGTGGCATTGGTCCCTTTCATTGCAGAGGAAGGTAGGGGTCTGTGAGGGTCAGGGGCAGACAAGTGGATTTGCAGATGTGCAGATTATGCACAGGTTTGACTGCAGTTGGCAGAGTGCACACTCTGAATATCTGTTTCCTTTCATCTTTGGGGGGTGATATGTTATTTTAGGATGCTGGAAAACTGACTCTAAATCCTCTTACCAGATTAAAAATTGTGCACTTTTTCCCCCCTCCAGCCTCAGCTGACTTAAATCCCTGTCTCTTTGCCCTTGTGGTAGTGTCCTGCTGTTGCTATAGCTCTGCCAATTACTATCCAGTGGAAAGGAAAGTGTTTCTGTCTGCTGGGGGAGTCCCTGGCCCAGAACCTGTCTTTGCAACACTCAAGCTGTTTGTTGGTCCTCTTGTAGGTATTTGCTGCTTGGCTCAGATTTACCAAGGGGCAACAGCAGAGGAAAGATTGCACAAAAAGAGCCACAGGAATTTACCACACTGCTCTTCTGAGAGAAGGTGTAACCCAGCTCTGGAGATACACCACTGGCATGAAACAGTTGCAAGGACAGCTTCAAGCACAGCACCAGCTGAAGGTGACAGAGACAAATGATTGTTCAGATAAATCCAGCAGTGGTCTGCTCTGATCTACTTTGTGTGTATATTTGTGTGCACATGTGTATCTTGGGAGCCCTACATCTTGGCACTTGTGTGGATCTGACATACACTTTTGCCTGTGATCCTGTCCTTTCATGCAGCTGAGACTAGAGACTTCAGATTTGTGTTGCTAATTTGGAACCTTTCTTAATGAAGTGATTTCAAAACTGGGCAATTCCTACCATAGATAATGCTGGATGAAACCTTTGCTTGTGGCTACTGTCTGATCTCTAAATTCTGTGCTAGAATGAAGCATTAGAGGCTGCATCTAGTCCTGTCTTAGCTTTAGCACCACTTACACCTTCAAATGTGGGCTTGTGTCGCTTCTGACTTTGAATATCAGCCCAAACTTGTTGTGTAGAAAGGAAGATAGAGATGCCTGTATTGTTTGCTCTCTTCCTGCTCCTGGGCAGCTTTCCAAGCTCTTTTCCAGGTTTTCAAGACACTGTTCTGTTTCCTAATGTGCAGCCTGCCTCATTGCAGAAGTACCCAGTATATTTTCCTTACCCAAGTATTACCACAGTGGACCTGCTAATTTAGCTTAGAGAGCTGCTGTGGCTGTGAGGTCAGCAGAAATCTCAGTTCCTTTCTGTGGTGTTCTCCCTGGGTGCCGTGGTGTTGCTTCCTACTCCCAGCCATCAAATGCTCTGCTATTCTTTGTGTTGGCAGGCAGCCTACAACCTTCACCAGTCAGTGTATCGCTGTGCCATGCTGTGGAAACAGAAGGCTCTCTCCAAGAAATTAAATAAGCCTTGTTCTTTTCTGCCACCTCTGAAGAAGCAAGTCGCGTTAAAAATGCGTGATGTTAGTCCTGGGACAAGAGGACATTCAGCAGAAGAAGAGCCATGGCCTTCAAAATACAGTCGCCTACCATTTCACCTTGCTGATGGGGACCCAGTTCTCGGTGATCTGTGAGCATGCTCAACAGCTCAGAGTTCTAGTCCCACCTGCATATATGTAGTTTTACATCTGTGTAGTCCATCTGTCTGTGTCTCTCATTTTTGTATTTCCAAGTTTTCACATTGATGGCTGTAGTCCCTAACACTCTCTCTGACCCTGCATCATGTGGCTGGTCTTGCAGTTGTACAAGAGCTGTGCATAGTGAATACATCAGCCCACAAATAAACAAAGGAATTTGTGACTTTATACTTAAATATCAGCGACAAGTAGGATCAGTTCAGCTATATACTTTCTGCTGTGTTTCTTGATATACAGCTGTGAATTCATGGAGCATTATCACTTGTCATAGAACAGTAACACAGGGAAACATTTGAAAGATGTGTGTGATGGGACTTTTAGCATCGTGAGAGCTGATCTTGTCTGAGTGGCCTAGAGCTGTCAGTGAAGCTTTTTTTCACTGAAGCCAAGTATAGGGTTTGATGAAATGATAAACATCAAGATTGTGGCTGTGCAGAAATGGAACTTTCTTCTTGTCCCTTTCTTTCCCCTGGGGAAGCTAGTCCTTAAAAATTTCTGATCGTGGGGCAATTTCAAGGAAGAATCTTCCATGAAGCTTCTCAGTCCAGGACAGGAGCCTTAAAGGGGAATAAGGTGATAGCTTCACATTTCTTTAAGCTAGTATATGCTGCCAGAAGAAGTAGTGTTGCCTTGTTCAGTTCTGTCCTTTCCACCACCCCTTGTGTTGGCACAATCCTTCATAGAGTAAACCAGATTGTGACATTAACACAGGTCAAAATGTAGTCTTTAAATATTATTATTGCATGCAAGGGGAATGTCGCAGAGCAGAGATAATGATGGAATAGGACTGTTTCTTTAGCTGCAATGCCAGCTTATGCCAATTTAAATTACATATTGTTTCTGTTTGTTCTTTTCAGAAATGCCATTCAACGAGCAAGGTTACCACCACAAAGGCCTGACTTCCTTCTGGGATCTCTAGAAAGCCAGGCACTGCTGGGATCTCCTTTTTCTAGGTAGAAAGTCTGTTTTTAAAAGTAACAAAAAAGAGGGTGGCTTAGAATGGGATGTGCTCTGCTTATCCCCTCAAATCCCCTGACCTTCATAATACAGAACGCTCAGTAATTACGGGATGGTGCATTGTTCTCTGCTACCAAAAGGCCATCTTAACCTTAAAAACATCAGGTTTCTTTGTAAGAAGCAGACAAGAAAATCGAACTTCAACTAAATAGCAACTAAGGCCTTTGTTTTATTAGTGAGAGATTTTGAGGGAAAGGTAGGGCACATCACTTCCTTACAAAATGAATGGGCTTAGGGAATAAGTAAAGTTGTGGGTTGTTTTTCTGTCAGTCTTGCCACATAAACTTGGAAGTTTGAGTTGTGCAGGATGCTTTTTGGCTCGTAGATTGTATTTGCTCCACACCAGGTTTGGGTGTGGATTAACTGATCTCCTGGGGAATCAGTAATGATTCTGGTGGTGCAGAGCCAGAACTGCCATATTTCTCTCTGTCTTGGCTGAATCAACTTTGCTGCTCTAAAAGGAGCTTTTTTTTTTTTTAATTATTTTCCCCCAAAGGTTTGTGCTGCTGCTGAAAATGTTCAATTAAGCAGCAGTTTCACTGTCTTGTGTTCTGCACTTGAGTTACGGTAGCACGTCTTAGCCCTGAAACTGAGGGAGCTGAAACTGCTCTTGCTATAGAAGCTGAAATTGTGTCTAAGCAGATGTTTAGACTGAACTTTTATGTGAAACTGTTCTGTAGTTAGCTTTAGAAAAGGGAAGTAGCTATTGATTTCCTCTCAAAACCCATCTGAAATTGCTGATCCTGCTCCCTCTTTCTCTTATCCCAAACCAGTATGAGGCAGGATTTTGTTAATGGATTGAATACACAGCTCTGAAGAAACTGTTTCAGCCTGGATTAATGTGGAGAATTTGGAGCAGGGCGGGAGGAGTAATGGAAACCTTTGCTGCTCTGCTGCTTTTTTTGTTTGGTTTTGAAATCGTTGTGGTGTTTTGGTTTTGTTCGTTTTTTTGGGAGTTTTTGCTGTTTGGTAATTTGGTGGGTTTTTTTTTTTTTTCCTTTTAAAGTGGGGTTTCCCTTGCATAGTAAAGCAGCTGACTGGAAAGCTGTATGCAAGGGAATAACAAGATGACCTCGTCCTCCTTCTTTTACAGACGAGAGGTGCCGTTTCAGCAAACACCTGTGAACAGATGTCCTGGGCAGACTGGGAACTTAATGCAAACACCTGAAGTGGAAGAAAGTACCAGTAAACATCTGTCTCAAACGGGCAATACCACTCAATCCTACCCATCTCTTGTACATGCTGTACCACTGTGGACACAGGATGTGCACTGTGCTACTCAGAGGCCAGAGATGAGGCCTCCTTCCTCTTTCATGACTCACATGAAAGCTGGAGCAGAAATGGTGAGTGTATTGCTGAAGGATAAACTAGCGTGCTTGCTGGGCTACTGTCAACATGCGTGCTGCTTATTGCTGGGTTTTCCTGTGGCTCTGCTGGAGTGCCCATCGGGCTGTTGAACCATTCTTTTCTTGTTCTAGCTGTCATCCTAAAAGCTGACCAAATTAAATGGCTCTGAATGCTCTAGAGTTCTTTACCACCAGTCTGAAGCAATGTTTCACTAGCTGACCAATCCACTTGTATTTCATGCCTTTTTTCCTGGTCTTGTGTCTTTCCTAGCTGGATGCTTTTCCTAGCAATTGACTTGAGAGTGCTGCTCCTTCAGAGTTCAGAGCAGTTACAGTTTGCCAACCAGATTACAGGGATTTAAGAGCAACTCAGTTTAGAAGCAGTGGCTGTGGCTGACGGTCCCAAAAATTGAAACTCACTTCCCCTGCAACTAGGTGCTTGCACTTTAACCTCCTGTTCCATGCCAAATAGGAGGTGTTAATCTTGATGAAGTATCTCCATGCTAGAAATTAAAATGCCTATTTCTTAAGCTCTGCTGCTTCTGTGGTATTTTACGAGAGGGGCTCAGCGACTACAGGGGGTGTTTGAGTGGGAGTAGGGTTGAGTAGGTCAGGTGCATTCTACTTGTAGGGCTTACTCAAGAAAACCCTTTGAGGAAAAAACATGGTGTCATTTTGACCCTGTAGAGACAAGGTTGGCCTGTGAGCGGCCACAAAGGAGCCCATTCCCAAGACTCTCAACAGGACTCTATGGAGAAGTTACGACCAAACTTGGAGCCACGTTTGCTGTCACCTGAAAACTTGGTGGGAAAACGGAGTCACCAGACTGCAGGTAGGTCCTCAGATCTAGGCTGTAGCAGTTGTGTGTCCTCCTCTAATACATCCAAGAGTGTAAGTCAGCTCCACAAAACATCAGAGAGACAAGGCAGTCCTGTATGCCTGCTGCAGGAGCTGAAAAACACCAGTCATTCCTTTTTGGGACACTAGTAAGAATTTTGTGTGTTCTGCTGAATCAGGGGGCTAACAGAGTGTTCTGGGGATTGAAAGAAGGGAACTCCTAGGGATTGGCTTCTTTTAGCAAGAATGTGCTTGAGTGCTGGGATGTTCATGTATGTGAGGCTGAATGTTTCCTCTGTTTCAGGAGGGAAGAGCTCTCTGTTTACTCTATACTTACAGTATGGTTGTAAAGGGGACGTAAGGTGATGAAGCACCTCCCAGCGTGGCGTTTAGGGCATGAAATTTGTGTTCCATAGAACTAGACTGACTTTGTTCTAGAGATGTAAAACACTAAATAATGAATAGGCCAAACCAGCATTTGTAGTACTAAATCATTCACATTTATCTTTTTTTGTGTATGTTTAACCTGAGTCTTTGGAGCTTGTAATGCTGTCAGGACTCCTTCCCTCTCACTGTACCTGATCTTTTGGGCAAACAGGTACATGTCACAGGGTGACAAAACATGTGGAAGGACTCCAGGAGGGTTCCATGTTTCCTGTCTACTAACTTGACTTTCATTGATAAGGAGCAGTGGATGTCTGTTGTACTTCCATTGCTTGTGCCTTGTATCTTCCATTCAGCTGAAGGGGAAGAAAGGGAGCACAGTTCCAGGGAAGAAATGGTGTTACAGAGGAAGCTGGAAGTTGAACTCCAACACATCCAACAGCAGATGCAGTACTACTTCAGCAGGCAGCAAGAACTCAAGTATCTTGAAAAGCCCCTTTATTTATCCAGCCTTGCTTCATGCTGTCAACTTAATATTGCACTTTTTGTATGTATCTACTTTTAAAATAACCTGTCTGTTCACAGCAGAACTGTGAAGAAAACAGAAAAGATCCAGAAGTTTTTATTTTCTCTTTTTAAGAGTTTACTCCAGGTAGGAGAGAGTACACATGCCACTTCTTTTGTAGTCAGCAAGTGGTTTAATTATACCTTTGGCAGCTGTTACAGAAAGCATGGCAGAGGTATTGGGTGTCATCTGAAGGCAGTACAAATGAACTTGGCGTTTAGCTCTATGAAAGAGCTAAATTCTTACGAAAACTTAGCTTTTCCAACTGTCAATTAAAAAAATATGGCTGGTGTTTGACAACTTCTCTACTAGAACAAGAACACATTTACGAAAATGGCTAGTAAGAAAACGGGGCTGTCAGGACAGGAAGATGTCAGGAACAAGCAGTAGGAAATGTAAACAATTTTCAGACAGGTTTCTCTGCTTTCAAGCATCTCTTTTTTTAGACTTTTACCATTCACTGGTTTGAGACAAGAAATTGGGTCTTATTGCAAGTATCAATCTCAAGTCTAAGTTGGCTTAGACTGCTGAGCCTTCTAATTGGCACAAGAATCCCTTAATCCACTTTATCAGGTCCTGTCAGCAGCAGGCAGAGATTCTACAGAAGTGGCTAGAAAACAGCACACAACCAGAGGACCAAGATGGTGTACAAGATGTTCAGGAAGAAATGAATCAGGTCTGTAAACAGCAAACAAATTCAAGTTACTTAAGTGATAATCACTATGCATTGCACTTAGCCCAAAGGCTGATGGAAGTTGTGAGCAATTGTATAGTAACCTGCTACTAACATGCCAAGAGAATTGAGACTTGTAATCAGAAGTGGACTGAAAAGCACAACAGGCTACTGTGTAGATGCATCCTATTTGTTCAGAAATGTAACTCCAGCTCCAATAGACCTTTCTAAGGCTATTTCCAAGCTCTGTAGCAGGCCTTAGTGGATTCAGTCTCAATTCTTTCCCTGAGATTTCTCAGGACAGTGTAGCTACGCTACAGTGACTGCATCTGCATTACTCTCAGTGCCCAGGTTTTAATACAGCCACATGGGTATTGAACTGGTAGCCCTAAAGCTAGACAGTGCTTGGCTGTTCCTGAGTGACGCTATCCTGTCACTTAATGGTTCTTAAGTGGGGTAATACAAAGGCAGCTAGAGCTTATTCACTCTTCCTCTGTCAAAAAGACTAAATGCTGTCTTGCTGTACTAACAGCTTATGCAGTTCTCTTTCACTTTCAGTTGCAGGTGAGGATCAACACTCTCACCAAAGCACAACAGAAAGAGAGAGATCATGTGCAGAGCCTGGTTGCCCGCCTGCATGAAATCCAGATTGTTCTCAATACATGATGCATCTGAACCAATATTCTAGCTCATGGGTAGGACTTTTTGCTCTTTTCATAGTGGGGGAGGATGAAGATTTATACATTCTCTTGGCCTATATATGGCAATTTTATTTTATAAATTAAATATTTTTGCTTGCCTTGTTTTGTTAATACAAGTGGTTAAAAAGCACACAGGAGCTATATACCCCTCATGCTGCGTTCACAATACCTATTTTAGGTTACCCTGACATTTCACAAAGATAAGCAACACTGATAAGACTCTTTATTTCAAAATCTTTGCAATTAAATGAGTTCATGTCAGTAAGTCATACACTTTGACATACAAAAATAGCATGCTACTGATACAGTTGAATTAAATGGATTCTCCATGCAGGAGAAATTCACAGCATTATCAGTACCCTCTAGGAACTTTGCTTTTTCACTTCCAGGGTGCATCGCCAACCACTGCGTAACAGATGTTGTTTGTTAATCAGCTAGCTCTGCACAGTATTAAGACTATCACAAAACCAGCCACTCACAGGCTGAATCCTCTCCTCCTTAGGTGTCTAATAAAGCACACAACAGGTAACCCATGCTCCATTACTAGGCTAACAGTAACCTTCAGATACTGTGGATGGTGATGCTGAGTATGGAGAAATTAAAGCTCAAAGTTGCTTTGGCTGTGTCTGGGTGGCATAGGCCCCAGTGGAAAAGATTCAGTGGTCTTTCCTGTCGTCCACTGGAACGAATTCACTTTCTACTGTTAACATGACATTTAGTTAAAAGGCCGATTGTAGCTTTAGCCTCTGGGGTTGATGTTTGCCTTAGTCTTTTCTAAACAGCAATGGTTTAAAAAGTGCACATTTCTATAAGCTGTATATGGTAGTATACTGCTGCAGGAGTAAACTTGCTAATGCCAAGAAACTTAGTAAGATAGGTGGCTGACAGCCACTTCAAGCTTTCAAACTCCTCCTCATGTAAAGTGAGGAAACATTGACTCCTGGAGCCAAATGAATTTTCTCCTGCTTGTCACCCAGACAGCCACCATAACTGAAGTCATGGCTGGGCTCTATCACTTAGAGGCAGTTTATCATCCCATCTCTCCTGATGACAAGCTAAACATACAGGACTTGGCAAACTGGACCTTTGTACAACAAAATTATATTCTATTTTCTGCAGTGCATACAAAGAAGATAAGTTTTTCTTTAGAAAATCAGAGCTAGTTAAAGCCTACCCTCTCCTTAAAGTAGCAGAAAATTAGTTCAAGCAAGAAAGTAATACGAGAAATTTTTGAGAAAGCAGAAAGGCATGTCCACTCCAACAAGCTCTGGACAGCAAAGTCAGTTTTAAATGTTTGAGTGCCTGGGCTTGAACAAGTTTATTCTGTAAAAACAATTAATACATTTAAAACTCAATTCCTCTTCTTCACTTGGGCACCAGTTTCTGTCAGTGCCACATTTAACAGCTCCAATGTGTTAGATTTCAAACTCTTCTTGACATGTTACAAGAAAGCGCTGAAGTTTTGCTGTAGGATGAAGCTTCAGCATAGAGCTTCGTCCCCAGCACATTCCTAGCATGAGGACAAAAGTCAGAGTCATCTTTTGAATAAGATGAAATTGTTGCCAGTCCATTATAGGATGGCCAGGTTGGCACCTGGGAGGCAACTTGGGATTGTTTCAAAGATTCCTATTATCTTTATACACAGCCAGTGCATAGGGTACTTCACTTGGTGCAATAAAAATTGGTCCTGAAGTATCTGAAACTGTTCACTAAATACAGAAATTAATTCTTGAACAATTTAGTGACAAAGCAACAGTGAAGATACACAGCAGGAAGTAAAAACATTTTGGCTGCTATCTTATTGCACCACACAAGAAAAATATTCTCTGTCTTCTAACACCTTAATCCATACTGCTTCTCATACAAACAAAATCTTTAAGGCCTGGGACAGAAATATAGAAGCATGGATTAGGAAGAGGACACACAGCTTTGTCCACTCTTACTTTTTTAAAGAAAATCCCAAGATGACCAGTTTCATCACATGGAATGCAGACACAGTGTTTTCAGGTTTAAAATACAGTGCAAAGTCCATTTTTAAAGGGACAATGTCAGGTAAAAAATAAAATTGTCTAACAGTAGAAAACCTGGATGAGTGTGATTTATTGTAGTGATGCTGTCTGTACATTTTGCATGTCAGAACTGTGAATCCATACTAGCCCCTTAAACTATTTGGCTGTCTGCATTCACAGCTGCCTTTAGTCAAACGCTTCTTCAGAGTGTCTTGGAATAAAATAAATATGAGAACACATTCTTTCAAGTCTGAAAAACAGACACTGCAGGTACAAGGTCTGACTCAGCCTGTCACTGTCCCTTTAAATACAGCTAATCTCTACCCTTCCCCATTGCACCTGCACAGCCTTGGAGGGCTTAAAAGGGTTTTAAGAACCTAATTATCCTGTGGCACGTTGAGGGGAGAACATGAAAGACTACAGGCCCAGGGTGGCTCCTCCATGAAACCTCCATGCCAACATCTTTAAAAGCAGCTGTACCTGATACATTTCTGGTCATTCAATTCCCTGTCTGCATTCAGCAGCATGTCAGTGTAGATCAAATGCTCTCAAGTTTAACATAGCAATGACATTCTTCAGTTTTCCTCACCCAGGTCCTGCTGAGTGATACATACTTGTTAAATGAAACACTCAGTGGTGTGATAAGAGTCCCTTTGTGTAGAAAACCACCTTGCTGAGAGTTGCTATAGAGAGCCCAGTGCTTCTCCAAAGCGGATTTTCTGTCCAGCTTTGAGGTGGAATTTGAAGTCTTTGGGTGCCTCAAAGATAAGTACAATTGTAGACCCTAAGTTAAATTCCCCTAAATGTTCTCCTTTCCTCATGGGGATCCCTTCCTTGTTGTTGTTTGATATGAAGCTGAAGTCATTGTAGGAACCTTTAGAGTAAGATGGACTGTTGGTATGCAAGTCCTGTACAGAGAAAGAAGAAAAAGGTACTTGAGTATTTCAGTACTCTGTATTCATTAGCACAGCTGTGGATATCCAGGCATTTAATTCAGGAACTTACTTACAATTCAGAAGTGCAGTAGGAATATTTAAAAAACAGATGTCTATACTGGAGATGACTCCCTTTAAATCAGTCTTAGAACAGCTCTACTGTGAAATACCTTAATTTCAGAGTAATAAGATCTAAATGTTTCTTGCAATTTTGTTTTATTATACTATACCAACCTCAACCATTGTCAAAAGCAGAAAGCTGCCTACCACTGTCTTGCTCACCTGGTCAAAGTAGATGCGAATAGAGCCCACATTTGTTGCTCCTACAGCTGTTAAAGAGAAGAAGCCATGTTTCCAGTCACCTGTAAGGACAACCCGTTCATTGTGGCAGAACAGCTCCTTGATCCAGCGAGCAACTCCAGGATTCACAGACATCAGAGAGCCTGCAATAGTTAGAAAACACTCAAGGTGTCTGGTTTGTAGCAGTATTGCAATGCTATCCAAATGATATTTTCAGTATAACAGTAACATAACTGTTTAGTAGCACAGGAACTGTTTGCCAAGCACAGGAAGTGAACACATTTTAGGCTACTCTCTGGTCTGCTCTGCAGAGCTATCTGTATTTCAGGTACAAACTGAACAAACTGTGATTAGGAACAAGTCAGGTCAGCATGCATCAACACTTATTTCAAAGAACTAGAACAGCTGGAATACAGTATTACCATTTTCACCATTTATATGTGATTTGATCTGACAAACTATACTACTATAAAACTCATTACCGTTTGTGACCATTGTCTATCATGTGACTGTACAACTGCTCCACTGGTGTGTCTCCTTCAGCAGTGGCCTGTATCAGGTTTTCCCTCCATAGCTGCCCTGTGCTCATCTTCTAGGAGCAAAGACCCACCTGGGAAATGGCGCCGGTGTGACACTCTCCAGTCAGTGGGGGAGTGGAAGCAGTGATAATCCCCCGGTGCAAGGTAAATTACACAGTGGTAGAGCTCATTCCCCTCCTTTGTGACCAGCTGTTGCTGAAAAGAGTTACCAGGTGGGGCTGCAAAGAATGGAAAGAAAGAGGTTAAAGCTACTCTTCACAGTTACCTATCATAGACAGCCAAGCAGTCTGCCTTAGAATCAGTGCTAATAGCAGAGGACTGAATGCAGTCCACTTGTATTGTTGAGATTACAAAAGATACACTTTTGTCCAGGAATCCAATATTTCAAAGTGTTTTCTTCCCCCTTACAACAAAATTAGATCCTATGGATGAGGCAAGACACTCTAAAGTCACTGACAAGACAGAAAAACACTAAAACAGTGACATGTTTATCCCCAAATAAAACAAAAATCAGACCTGCTTTTGCTGCCAACAACGAGAGAGAGAGAGAGAGAGAGAGAAAGAGAGAGAGAGTAATCTCTTTTCTCATGATCTGAGAACACTGAAAAGGCAGAGCAGAATAAATGCAGAACTGATGCAGAACTCACCCTGGCTAAAATGCAGTTCCTCTGTAGAGATGCGAGGTCCCAAGAAAGATTCCAGAGAATAAGTAACCCCTTTTACTTGCTCCACTTCACAGTTTTTCACTTGTCCAAAATTAAGAATCTTTCCATCAGAGGGACTGATCTACAGCAAAGAGGGAAAAAAAGGAAACACATTAGGAATTCATTTATTCCTCATAAAGCAGACACGTTTCTTTGGGGGTGAGGGGAAGCTGGTGGTGTGAAGCCTTCATTTCCTTTTACTCACCACACTGTGCACGCAGCAGACCGGCCGCACTTGCGGCTTCAGCTTCCTGCGGAAGAACTCGCTGAGGTTTCTGTAGTGATGCAGGTCTTCAACAGCTGCCTCCTTCATGTTCACTCCAAACGTCCAGATGTACAGGCTGTAAACAGGCTTCCGGAGCCATGTCGGCAGCTCCACCTGGTTCAGGCGACCCCAGGCTCGCGAGAGCAGGCGAGTCGGAACCGATTTGTACAGAGCAACCTAAAGAAAGAATCCCAGCACGTCATTCTGTCCTGC